AACTTGTAATTATAATTATAAAATAATACTAAAGAATTTACTTATTTGTCAAAAATTCTAACTCTTTTCTAATATGTTCCAATATTAATTATACCAAATCTTTATTTGATCTAAATCGCATTTTAAATTCGATGTCATCTAATATGTTTCAAAATAATTAACTCGCTGTTTAAATCTTTTTCTTCTTCGTTCTAATTGTTCAATATTTTCATCATTAGAATCTGAGAACCACGAAGGATTAAAATACGCCACATCAACAAAATAATAATTATTATTTTTTACAATTATTTTTAACGTATCTATAACGTGTCAAACACTGTCAATGAATGTCGAGTTTGAATTTTGACGACGTTGTGAATTCAGACAACCACAACCAATTATTAATTAATAAAATATATATATTAATAAAATATAATTATATAAGAATATCTATTACATATCTGATTACGATATCGAATAAGAACGCTGACGATTCAGTGCGTTTCCGGCTCGTACGAGACACCGGAGAATCGCGCAGCGTAAAACAAAACCCAATTCGTTCCTAACGCGAAAATGCTGACGAACTATCAAGAATCCGTCAGCAAGTTCGATCGAAAGACCTTCAAAACTGCAATCAATTGCAGTTTCGCGACTATAAAATTGCCGTCGCGAGAACATGACGGCGAATCGAAAACTAACCATCAAGCGGACCGGACGTATGTCCGTCGGGACCACGAATTAAGAAGATCGCGTATTATAACGAATCGCTGAAGCAAATACGAGTAACTTGAGGCTCCGTGAAACTAAACTAAGACCAGGATTCCTGAAACGGAACTTGGGTTATCTGTTAATAAGGGAACTTGTAAAATAATGAGACCAATAAATATACGGAAGATTGTTTTATTTAAAACAAAAAATTATTTCCCGGATTCCCGGCCTAACTCCCTTAGCAGCAGATCTCGAACCCGTGCCCTCAAAAAGGGGCACAATAACAAGATGATATCCAATAAAGATCAGGATACATATTTGATGATATGGTATATAGAAATAAAAATAGAGTATTGCTAGTAACATTTCTTAAAACCAATGTTTAATTACTTTAAACGGTCGATCTCAACCGTTTAACTTAAACTCGGTTTACAGATATTTAAATGCCCTTAAATAATTGGTAGAAACCAATATTCAGATTAAGTTAAGATAACCGAATGTCACTAGGGTTTAATTTCTTAAACCACGTTGGTTGAAACGGCCCAAAGGGCGCATAGAGCGCCGATAAACGTTATCAATAAACACCGGCGGACACTCGCCGGACGGTCCTTAGTGTTTCATCAAGACAGGATTCCTTGTCTTGAAGAACATTTCTTGTCTTGTCTTGATTTGCAAGACAAGAAATTTTGTTTTTCTTGTTTTGATCATTTCTTGACATTTGTATTTCTTGTCTTGAATTCAAGAATCTTGAATTTCTTAAAATTTCTTGATTTTTTAATACATATTACAATTTGTAAAAAAATATTTTTCTATTTTATGTTAATATTATCAAAACTCCCACCATAATGTACAAAGTATAATGTACAATAATTACGTAATAATAAAAAAATAGTATTAAACACATTAATGGTATATTCTTTTCTTTGTTTTTTATAGAATAAAATGGTGTATTTAATTTTATCAAAATTTAGCTAGATAGTAATGTAAATACAAAATCCTAGTAAAATATCTAAGCACGTAAAAATGACGGTTTTTTTTTAATTTTTACATTATTAAAATTGTTATTTTATGTTTTAATTTTTGATAAAAAATGGTAATGAGGTATAGATATTTTCTAGTATAATTAACTGCACTATTTTATGATAAATACACTCCTGATAAAATATTAAAACATCTCTTTTCATTTTATTGCTTTTAAAAAGATTTTAATCGTTAAAAAAGAGGTGCTTGTGTCCATTTGATAATAGTGCAGCAGGGCCCTTCTGTGGCTCGCTACGTCGCGTTGCAAGTGTTCGGCTTTTGTTTAGCGCCGAGTGGTACGCGAAAACGAAAAAACAAATGAAAATCGCAAATAGCGAGCCGTACTTTAATGTCATTTTCATTTGCTTTTTCGCTTTAATCTTCGACAAACATTCAGAGTGTCAAGGTCTCGAGGGCGTAATGAAAAACGACCGAACAATGACTTCAAAAAGAAAAAAGAACAATATAAGTAGTGATAGTGAAAGTGACTCGTCAGAAAATTGTCCTTACAAGATTGCAAAAGACAATGGTACTACGCACAAGACAGTTTCAAAAAAATTATAAGAAAAAAATAATCAAGAAGAAATCAAGGAGAAAACAGTCAGTACCCATACAGCACACAAAGATTGCATACACATTGCATCAATCTTTCATCGCAATGTTGCAATATTGCAAATTCACTGCAAAATGTTGTTGCATCATTGTCTGTGGGATTGCAGCAACGTTAAAATGTCCGCCTTTAGAAAGATTGCAACGAAATATTACGGTAATATTGCAATGTCATGAATTTGCAATAATGCATTGTTATTGCAATCTTAGACCCAGGGAGAACACCATAGAGACAATATTTTTATATGCAACATTATTCCCCAGGGAGAACACCAGGTCGAAGAAACGTCTAATACACATCTAATAGACGTCTATAGACGTCT